GATCATACCTGTGTCGAGTTTGATGTCTCCATCATGGAGTCGTTCGATGATCACGTCGCTTTCAACATTGAATATGAGTGCTTGATGGTAAATTTTTTTAGAGAGGTTTTTCTGTCGTATAAAACTTACTATAACTTTGCGACTGTGACATTTAATTTTATGCGACGATAATTATTGAATGCTGGGAGTTTGACGAGTTTTAGCTATAAAATAAAAGGAATGCATATTTTAACCGTTACAGATGAGAATAAACTATTTCTGACAGATATTTTGTTTTTGTTTGAACCTACGCTTATACGTTAGAACCAAGGACAACTCAACACCTATCAAAATATAGAGCGCATTCAGTTTGAAAGGTTGTGCGTTTCATGATCATATGACTGCCATCATCGTTTGTCCAATAAAATCGAACTAGCTTTTCCACTTAAAACGGAACGGACGAGAACGTCGTTACTCCCCCACACGTGTGGCGTTCTTGAAAAAACATATCCGCGAGCTGTAGAATACGGGTCTCGTGGATCATAACCATCGATCCCGATGGGCAGCTGCTCCTAGGATTGTTCCTAAGAAATATCCGGGAGACTAACGCATGACGTTTAACTCGAGACCGATCAACACGTGCGTCGAGTCTATGCCGTGGTCTATGCCGAACCTTGAAGTGGCATGGCGTGTGCTTCACTGCTCGAAGGTGTATATCACACTGGATTTACTGGCAACTGCCTCTACACCCTGACTTGCAGGAGTATTACTTCTTTATCACCCCGATTGGGGTGGTCACCCCTGCGCGGGTGCTTATCGGTCAGTCTGATTCGGTAGCCTAATGTTAAGGCGTGGTTGACGAGCTCCTTGGGGAATTGTTTATGCATGGCCTTTTGGGTTGGCTTGATGATTTGCAGGGATATACCGGGACAACGGTAGACCTGTTGGTGCACCTACGCAGGGTGTTGAGCTTATGCCAGTCGTACAGTCTCAAGTTGCACCCCGGCAAGTGTTTGTTCTACACGACGAAAACGATCTGGTGTGGGAAAGAAAATTCCACCGAGGGCATGGCGCATGCTCCCGACCGGGTTCAAGGGTTGTGTGGGTTGGCGCTCTACAGACGGGAGCAGAACTTCAGCAGTTTCTGTGTGAGACCAATTGGATGCAGGCGAACATCCCCCTGTATACTGAACTGGTGGCCCCGCTGACAAAGGCGATGGTCGCCTGGCCTATTGTGAGCGTGTCAAGTTAGTCCTGCAACGTTTGGTCCCGTTGACTCATCCGGATCTTAGCAAAATGATTTGCCTGAATTCCGATGCCAGTGAGGGGGGGGGCAATCGCTACGCAAGTCCCGGAGGAGGACCTTGCTCAACTGGCAGCTCAACAGCACCAGAAACCTTAGTGTTTATGAGTAGTGTGTTCCGAGATCCAACGAGCGCTGACCAATTGTTGAGAAAAAGGCGTTCGCGGTAGTGAAGTCCTACTAGCGACTGGAATATGTTCTTGTACTTTACAACCCGGGGGATTCCGCTTGTTCACTGACCACTGCAACCTCGTCTACATGTTCAACACTGTTGGTTACAACTTCAACATGGACAAGTACAGTGAACCAGGAAAAAACTCGCAAGCGTTGCACCATCATTAAATTTGCAGTGGGATTAGTAGATTTCATACACAAGACCAGAAGCAAAATTCCTTCTTAGTCCATGATTGGCTAAATATGCTTCAGCGACTTTCGCGATCTCTGA